ATCTACACAGAGGAGTATGATGATGCAGTGGAGTTAGGAGGAAAGGGAAGAGAAAGCGGAAGTGGAGGAGTTGGAGGCGACGCAGTACCCCAACCCTCCTCATATTTGTCCGCACTTCTCCGCCTGATTCCTTCTCCATCTTCCCTCCTTCTGCCGTCCCGCCCTCCTCTTCCTTCCCCATCATCATTTTCTAATGGCCCTCCCCCTTCATTATCGTCCTATTCCTCTCTCGTCGCCGGAGGCCTGGGTGCAGATGATCTCGTCCGACGTGGACGCCTACATGACGACCTCGACCACGGCGAGTATGCAGGCAGGGAGCCGACGACGACGGCGACGACGACGACGATGACGACGAGAGGATGAGGATGAGGAATCGGAGGACAGGTAAGTGGGTCAGGGGGTGGGTGAGGGGGTTAGGCAAGCTAGGTGCGCTCGCGTCATGTCTGACGTCGCACCCCTACCATGGCGTAGGTCTCCTCTCTATTCGCACAGTCGGTGTCGCAGCTCTGCATAGCATTGCATGGCATAGCATGGTGTTGAATACCAACGCGCAGCATGACAGCACGGCGTGGCGACGCCGCACAGCGGGGGGGGGCGTCTGCGGCCAAAACTATTAACGAATCGGCACCGAATGCGTAATCACTTCCGATGTTTTTTCGGGGGGGGGGGGCATCTTTTAGTGTTTGGGGCCTACTTGGAAGATCCGAAAACGATGCCGTGGCATGGCACTGGAAGCAAGTGGCCCGCGTGCCCTGGCTCTTGCACCAAGGAGCTGCGAGGGACAGGAGGCGTTCGCCTCCTCCCTCCAAGATTGCCTTCCGTGGCCGGGGGGGAGAACGAACGACGAACGCTGAGCGAAAATAAATAGGTCCGAGCTCTAGAACACAGCTGTGCAAGATACTAAGGACGCCAGCGCTGCGGCGGGAGCATGATTCGGAACGAGCGGAAGCGCGGAAATGGGGCCAGCGCTGCAGCGGGAGCACGATTCGGAACGAGCGGAAGCGCGGAAATGATGCCAGCGTTGCAGCGGGAGCACGTTCGGAACGAGCAGAAGCCCGAACATGAGGCCAGCGCTTCAGCGGGAGCAACATTTCGAACAAATGCCAAAGCGACAACCCAACTCCTGGGAATCCTGTGCGTAAAAAGCTAAGCGCAGATGGGGGCCGGATATCTTCCGGACGTCATGAGGGGGGAGAGGGGAGTAGTATTCATATTGTGTAATTGTAGAGCGCGGAGAGGGGAGGAGGAGGAGGAGGAGGAGGAGGAGGAGGAGGAGGAAGAGGAGGAAGAGGAGGCAGAGGATGAGGAGGAGGGGGAGGAGGATCAGGAGGAGGAGGAGGAGGTGGAAGAGGAGGAGGAGGAGGAGAAGGAGTAGGAGAAGAAGGAGGTGGAGGATGAGGAGGAGCAGGGGACGGAGCAAGAGGAGGAGGAGGACGACGAGGTCCGTAGCCATATTGGCTCTACTTGGAACATCGGAGCCTTTGTGGCTTCAGGTTGCATATCATCGAGGGACTGGCTCGAGAGCCCCAAGCTTTCAGCAATCACACACCCGCTTCAGCCTGCCCAGGCGTTGCAGGCTTCATTTTCTTCTGTGCATAAGCGCTGCGGCTGCGCTCATGGTACGCAGTGGCAGGGTGCCGTGATCTTTTGTGTGGACGTGTTTCCACAAGACATGCGGGCTCCCGAACAACTTCCATTGGAGGACCTCGTGCTGGGCGTGCGGGCGTGACAAAGGTGTTGCACCTGCTATCCCTTCTGACCGTCCTCCCATGGGTGCTTGAGTGCGGCCACATTCCAGCCGCAAGCAGGTGGTGGTGTCCAGCCGGGACCAGATGGCAGCAAACTCGCTCCTAAACGCAAGGTTGCCCTCCTCGCCATGCCCCCTGATCACGTTGAGGCCTGCAGCATTTGGCTCTGGGCACAAGGCCACCTGCAATGCCGAGCGCTCGGCCCAGGATGGCGACCCCCTCGCAATCAGCCAGCAGGCCAAGCGGGGGCATGACACTCTCAAAGAACAGGTCGCCAAGGCGAAGCTGGCCTCCACGAGGGCGCAGGACAATCCGGCCGAGCAGGTCCAGACGACCGTGGAGTTCAAAGAGAAGTACCATCAGTTGGACACCAAGGCGTGCGAGGCAGCTCAACCTGCGGCCATCGCTTATCAGGGGCCTTCTCGTGCTGAGCGTCCTGAGCCTGCTGACTTCGCTGCGCATCCACGCGCAGATGCAGCACCCAGGAGTCGACAGCACCATCTTGGTTACGATCAAGGTGGTGGCTCAGGCGCGTGACAGGGCCAAGGCTGCGGCTGACGCGTAATCATTGCTGAAGCGGATGCACACGCGGCTCAGCACGCGCAGCAATGTACCGACACTGGCGATGTTTTGTCTGCTGATGGTGGTGCTGCAATCCTCGCTGCCGCTGCGGCGGCCAAGGGCGATGGCAACGACATGGGCAAGGTCGCAGCTGTCTATTTCTTCAACCAGGGCGATTGGCCGGGCAACTTCAGCGCAGGTGAGGGAGGCATTTTGCGCTCACAGTTTTAGGCCGCGCTCGACGAGGCCGCTATTCCATACAAGATGATGAATGTGGGGTAGCCAGCGCGGTACACCTGCAACAGGTTCTAGGATGCCCTCCTGATGATTGGCGCATTGCCTCTGCTAGTGCCACTGATCGCTCGTGGCTTGCCATCTTCGTTTCATATCCCTCCGTGCTGCGTGCAAGTGCGATTGCTGTGCAAGGGACCACTCGCGTTGTTTAGGTTGTCGCAAAAGAGCAAGCTACGAAAGCAGGGATGGAGGAGGAAGCATTCTGATGCGTTGCGTGCCCAATGGGGGTGGTCGCTGTTCAGAAACGCGTTGGTCTCCCTTCGCCTGAAGCTTTGCCGTTCGATATTATGAATGGGAGAGGGAGTGTCATGCATGTTGGAGGTCTTATCAGAGGTGGATTCCAAGCGCGCCTCGCCGTCTACCTTCACAACTCAGTAGGTTTGCCCCCAGCCAGCTGGGACATTCAGTGCCGACTTGTGCGGCACTTACGAGTGTGAGTTAGGGCGGCTTGATGCACGTCAGATAGCTTCAGAATTGGCCGGGCATTTTTTGTTGGAGGGGTCTCGAAGTGGGGCGGGACAATAAACCTGCTGCTGTGCCATTTCCTGTCGGGGATGTCGCGCGAGGCCCACTGCGCCCGCGCAGTCCTGGGGCGTTCTTCGACGCGCCAGCCTCTTCAAGGCCCCCCCCCCGCCCCCCTGAGTTTCCAGATAGTGACCTCGCCATGGCGCCCCTGCAGATTTTCGACCGCGGAAGTTCGATCATCGCGTCTTCGGGTCGTTCGACATTGTGGCCGGCGAGCGCGCGCTGCGCTTGCGCAGGCAAGTTGCGCAGCTGAATGTCGCCAGCTGGGGCAGATGGGTCTAGCGTTGCGCCGCCGGCGGCGCGGCCGCTCTGTTCGCGCGCGCAGCCGCCTGATCCACCGCGGCCCTCCGCCCGCGACTCTTTCGCCATCCTACTTGCCCTGCATCGGCGCGGGGGGAATTCGCGAGCGCGAGACTGACCCGGGTGCTCGGCGGCGGGCGGGGGCGGGGCAGCCCGTGGCCGAGCGCCCCCAGGGCCCCTGAAGCCGCCCCCCCGCCTTGGGCAGATGGAGAGCGGTTTGATGGCCTCCCCTGCGGGCGCAGGCCGCGGGTGCAATCGGTTTCGGCCGAGGAGGTTGGCCCCGTTGCCCGACGCGGCCATTGCTGCCCCCCCGCCGCGCGCCGCCGTTGCCACCTCCCCTCTCCGCCGACTGCTGATCGGCAGGCTTCGGGCGCTTCTTTTCTCCGCGCGCGAAATGGGGCCCCGCGCGAACTAGCTCTCGAAGTGGGCGTGAAGTTCGGGTGTGTTCCACGGGGGCGCGCTCGAGGGTTTTGCGAGGGGGCGGCGACGGGCGAATTCAAGTGGCTAGAAGGGGTCTGCAAGGGTGGGCGGCGCGAAGGAGGACGATGGCCATCGTGGCCAGGGCATGTCTGGGGACAACGGCGGCGCCCAGGGCTCCTGTTTGAAGGGCCGCCGCTCAGAACTGGGGCCCGCTGCGATCCCAAGCAGCTGCTTCGCTAGGCGCCACGGCCAGCGGCGGGGGCTGCGCGCTGGCGCTGGCGCCGCGGCAGGATGTCGACCTCATCTGGCGCGTCGCGCTTGGGTCCGGCGAGGCTTTCACTTGCGCGTCGCGGGCTGGCCGGCCCCCCAGCGCGCGCCGAGAGCGCGCGGGCGCTGCTGCAGCGTTGCCGGGCGACGAGAACGCGCGGCCGTTGGCCCGGGGGCTGATTGGGTCTCCTTTGTTTTCATCGCATGAGCGGGGCTGTCTTGGCGGGGCCCTTCCCGTGGACGTGGCTTAGCGGTGCGGCGATCGAGGGGCGCGGCGATCGAGGTTGGCGACCTGTGCCCCGGATTCCCCTTGCGCGCCCTTTTGTCCACTTGCAGATTTCGGGCCGCCCTCCCCCCGCCCCTGCCTCCATGAGTTTCTCGGCGGTGACTGGAGAGCGCCCAGATTTGGATGCGAGTATTGACTCGGCTCGGAGGGCCTTCTGGGGCCAGGCTTCTTCCTTCCGCTCCACGGCCATTCCGTTGAAGGATAAGTATGAGAGGTACGCGCAGAAAGTTCAGAGTATCTTGCTTTAAGCTGCAGAAGGTTGCACTGCTGATTCTTATTCCCTGGGTGCTTTACATATCTTTAAAGGTAAATGTTTGGCTGCCATGCGTCGCTGTGCACGGAGGGGGGGGGGGGGGGGGGGGGAGTTATCAGGAGTGGAATGCGAGGAGGTATGAAAGAGCAAGGCAGAAGTTTTATGATGCACAGTATGCGAGTATTGCACAGAAGTTCCTCCGCGCCCACTGGGCGCGGGCAACCGACGTGGCCGATTTTGCCCATAAGTTGGTCACGAATCAGGAGGCGCTTGCGACAAATTCGACACGAGCGTCGAGAGATTCTCGTTTCTCATGCCTTGCGTTTGGCCGGCTGTGGGACAGAACGAGAGCTGATTCAAGCGAAGCTCTCAGATGTTGGGGACATGGAAGGAGGCCAGCTCATTGAAACGGCATCGTGGGGGGACAGGAGCGTGTCGGTCTTAGTTCGTGGTATCGCTCTTTGAAATTGTTGTGCGGTCTATCTTGGTGGGAATCGTTCGTCGGGAGCTTTGAACACTTCATGGAGTTTGCCAAACATCTATGTTCTAATTGTATGTTGACGCACTTTCAGAAGAAATGCAAAGGCTTGGCGTCTTCAGGGGCGCCTGCGTTCTTGAATGCCGATGAGGATGGAGGAGTTCATATCGGACAGGAT